ATTTTGAATTTAGCTATAAATATTAATAAACAAATTACAAATGAATTTCTTGACTCATACAAAACAGAAGATTATATCAAAATCTGCTCAGTCGTGTCCTCGCTGCGCATGCGCAACATAAATGATAGCACAAATAACTGTTGTTTTAGGTTTGTATTTTCGATTATCAATTACTTGTTAATTAAACGTTGACTGACTTTAAAATCACAACTTAAAATGTAATTATTCCATCATCAAGCAATAATTTAAAAAAGAGAACAAAGAAAATTCATTTAAAAACTTGAAAAAACTCGACAATGCTGCACAAAGAACAAACATATATTTAAATTTATTATTTAAAGCTGATAATAAAAAATAAGTATTAACTACCTTATATGCGAACAAACAAACAAACAAACAAACAAACAAACAGACAGAACACTCCACTTTATAATATTCGCTCCACTATTGTCTTATAAGAACCAAGCTTCCAAGTTTCCATAACAACAGTTACAACGTTGCCGTACAAAATCGTCATTTTAATACCATTCATTATAGGGCTATCTATGTAAGCCCTGCTGCATAAGAAACCCTACGCGGAGTTCAAAGACCCATAGTTCAACCCCCGTCCCATTTAACGGAAGCGTTGCTACATACAGATAGCTCATATATTCTACAATGTATGTATATATTACTAGCGATTAAACCTTGCTTCGCTCGGATCCCTCTACATGCCTTCTGCGATAAACATATCGACAAACATTTCTTCTTTATATATATAATAAAATTTTAAATGAGTCGAATCTGTACATTAAATATTTTTTGGAAGATCTTATTGAAATAAGTCACTATATACAGAGGCCGAATCTATAGTTTTTAGAATTTTTGTCTGTCTGGAAACGCATCACGAGAAAACGACTGGACAGATTTTGATGGAATTTGGTATGATGATAGCTTGTTATCCGGGTCAACATATAGGATACTTTTTACTGCGGGAAAATGTCTCATCTCTGAGAAATCTATACTAAACCTTAAAACGTAACTAGGGACGAACTCGAGCGGAGCAAGGGTGAGTCGCTAGTTTATATATAAAATTGTATTATTAAAATATAGCTCGTGCGTTACTCCAGCTCATAGCCATGTACTTAATATCATTCAAATCCGCTCCGTCGTTTCAGCGAAGACGAGTAACAAACACACAAACACACACAAAAAATATTAAAAAATTTTAGATGTTTGACGAGTTTTAGTGTTATCAATAAAAAAAATTTTTTATATAGATGGGTAAATCCTATTCATATACATTATACATACATACATATATAATCCTTAAAATTTCAATAATTATTTTGCTCTAATTTCGATCACCGAGGATAAGGCAACACTGAGGACTGTCACTTTTTAGCCATATTTTGAAGTCCACGTACCTTCTTAATGAAACATTTACTAGCAAACACACGAACAAACAAACAAACACCGTTCTTCCCACAACACTAGGGAACCCTAAACCCAAAAAAAAAAACAGTCACGAGCTACTGAACGTAATGCCTTTTTACATTACATATATACATACATCTGTTGCGTCCCGGCTGGCCAGGTGTCGCCGAGGTGAAGACACCGGGGCCGGGTCGTTTACACTGACATCGTTTTTATAGTAAAGCTGATAAAAAGTGCATACGATACGTATTTATATGTATGTGCGTACGTTTTGCAACACGCATGCCTGGATAGCATTGGTTGCAGCGGGTAGCGGGTTCGAATCATTATCTATACAAATAAATAAAATTGAAGTGTCTACATATTTGTAATATCAAAATAAAGAGTTTCTTACTAAATGCATATAGGTACGAAAGTATATACGGCACTGATAAGAAAAAAAAATTCAAATTTTTGTCTGTCTGTCTGTTAGTTCCCACTAATCTTCGGCTGGACGGCTGGACCGGCTTTGACGGGACTTTCCCTGGCAGATAGATGATATTATAGATTAAAGACCCGCAGCGCTAACTTTGTATTTGTTTAAATGAATCTCAGACATTACTATACGGATTTTGATACGGTTTTCATCGATAGAAAGAACGATCATGTATAAAGATTATGTGCCTATAATATAATTTATTAACATATTGCGAAAATATTCTACCAGTTTGATAATATTGAGTGAGTGAGTGATGTCGCTCCTAACGAGATCATCCGTGACGTTGGAAATGCGAAGAGTCTCTTGGGACGCACTCGAGCGAAGCGGGGGCGGGTCACCAGTTTCCCATAAATGTTTGTACAAATCTGAAATCTTTAGCTTATTCCCTGTGGCTTTGTCCATTGGTAATTATATTTGAAGGCTAAATGCTAACTTAACTAACTAACAACTAACGACTCACCTCCTTGACCTCCTTGAGTTGATTCCCCATATAAACTTTCATCCCCATTTTCAAATTGTCGGTTTTTAGATTTTTTTAAGTTTTTATTTGTCCATTTTTAGTGTAGACGTAATAAGCAGGTAATTTGTTAGACAAAAGTTTTTTTAATATTTGTTGATTTAAAAAAAAACCCGCTTGACCGATTTCGATAAAATGTATATGGGACCACCTGGGAAGCAGCTATCATCGTACCAAATTTTATCAAAATCTGTACAGTGGTTTTCTCGTGTTGCGGTAACAGACAGACAAAACAAAGACAAAAATTCTAAAAACTATAGATTCGGACTCTGTATCGATAATAATGTCTATTTCAATAAGATTTTCCAAAAAATATTTAATGTACAGATTCGGCTTTGTTACAATTTTATTATATGTTTAGATTTATCTATAAATAACAACAATGTGTTACAACATTAATTTAATAGCCGTGAGTAAACAAAGTCGAAACGAGACTTCCTTAGAAACGTTTCACCTCCATATACATAAAGTCGGTTAAACAGATAAAAAATCGAGGCAAAAACCTCAGGTAAGTTCGCCTTTGCAGGTAGCTCCGAGTGTCAGTTCAACGGCCGCTCCTAAATATAGTGCCACGCGGATGTGGACGATGCGATATGACTCGCCTCGCCGTCCGAGGCACTCCGCCTGCGCATCCGTACACATACAAAACATATTATGACGACACGTTTGGATCAGTGTGTGCGACCACCCTACTTGCTGTACCAGCAAGGTCGCGGGTTCGAGTCCCGCTGGGGGCATTGTCTCTTTAAATTTTTCCCCAGAGGTGACCCCGGGCGAAGCGAGGGTGAACCGCTAGTATATACATATTTCAATCCTAAGCAGAACATATAACACGTGTTATTATCAATGATATCTACCGAACAATGGAGAAATATGTGGACTAAAAATCTACTAATTTAACAAGAATAGCATCTTTTAGACCGATTTTAAAAAGCAAGGAATAATTACTTTAAAAACTAGCAAATGACACTGAAAAACAAAAACAAACCTATCCCACGGGAACTGTACATTTTTCCGAGATAAAAAGTAACCTATGTGCTATTCCAGGCTATAATCTATCTCTGTGTCAAATTTCATCCAGATCCGTTCAACCATTCTGGCATGACTCTTTCACAACAAACATCCATACATACTCACAAACTTTCACATTTATAATATTAGTATAGATTAATGGGATTTAATTATCATTATCCAATTAATTATAAAGATATATATGAGACTAGGCTTACATAGATAAAAATTATTGGTTTGAATTTTACAGCTTGAGCTGTTCAGGCAACACCTTCCCATATACAGCGGGGGTCATGTCTACTGGTCGTAGACTTTTAGGCAATTAACTATAAATAACAAAAATCCAACTCAGTACACTTTCTAGGCAGCATTAGTACCAAAAAGATTGTATAACAAACTATTTTGCATCAGCAAGTATCGCAAAATGTGTACAGTCTGTATACATTTTCATGTTAATGCTTTCTACATTCCAATTTGCCTTTTACTTTTGTACATAATTTTAACACTTCATGTTCTCGCTGGCCTGTAATGCTATACTGCCACCAAGAGTTGGAAGAAGACCACCAGGTCTTCTGGTGGATAACCACATTCATTAGAAGACCTGGTGGTCTTTTTCCACTAATATACATATATGTATAAGTTTGTATTTGTGTGTATGTTTATAACTTCTTTATGCTGAAAATGATTTGATAGATTTGCTGTTAATAGACTTTGACCTGGAGTAATACATAAACTACCGTCTGTCCCCCGGGGATGCAGCCGAGCAAAGCTAAGTCACTAATAGTACTATAGATTCCTTGGAATTTCATATTAAAATTATAAGTCATCACATTTCTAAGTAATGAGGAGAAAACATTAATATATATCTCATCTACTGCGGTAGTTGCAATTAATTGCTCATTTCTATGGGGAAATCACCATGTGGATTTAAATTTTTGTAAAAGATTGATTCAATTCAATTCTCTCGTTAATGCCTTCAATGCGTGCCAGTTGAGCACAGATTACTTTGCCAATGTCACGTAGAATGGCAAATGAATTTCTACAGTAACAAGACAAACTATTTTTTTTTCTTATATAATATTGACCAGTGTTTCCACAAGTACACTTAGAAAAATGAATAACAAATAATATTATGTAAGGTACAATTTAATTTATTATTTAAATAATATACTTAGCTGAGTAATGGTGGTATGCAATATTTTCATAAAACCTGCTTCATCATTTACAATACCATACGTTAAATTTCAATCATTTGTATGATAAATACAACCCAGGAAGTGACTCTATACATTTTATTTACATACAAATCGAATATGTACATAAGTACATATAAATAGCTTTGACTTAATAAATATTCTATGGAATCTGACCAATTAAGTCAGTTTAAATGAACAATTCACGCGAAGGAGCTGCGCCCAGACTGGAAACAAACATTGTAGGCAAATGACACATTCCACAACGTTCTATTTGCAGGCCCTCAGATACGCGGTGAGATAACGCACGTGCAGCAGGAAACACATCTACATAAAATACCCTCACGTTCAGTTCATTTTCTATTTACGATAGCGTGAATAAGTTATGGAGGCTGGCACAAACGGCACGTATGAACACGTCATCGAAAGAGATTTATTTACCTGTAGTTTTGTTCGTAGTCCCAATAGTCCTTGTAGCGCGGGTGCCAGCGCGGGCCCCCGCGCGAGTAGGGCCGTCTGGAGCCCCCCTGGCTCATTGTTGCGCCATTCCACGGCGTATCGATCTGCGCCGCCCTGCGGCCCGAACTCGCTCTCCGCCCCAGGAGACCCTACACGAGCACTAGCACTGCACTGCGACACTGTCACCACACGGGAATTTGGGGACGCGGCCGTGGGACTCCAGCGGAGCCCTGCGCTTGTTTTGAGACGACTGCAACGACGCGAAGCTCGCGCGGACTGAGCGCAAGCGCGCCAACGTCACGGCGACAGGCGCGCTCTGGCGGACTATACCGGTGGCGATTTTGAAAACGACCGCCAAATGCTCACTAATTTTTAATGACAATTATTTTGCGATTACCTCACAATAATGAAAAGCCGAGGGCGGTAGATGATAAATAAAATATTATAGAACTTGCACACTAATGTACATGAGCAAATATCGTTTCTTATATAGGGTCGATGTGAGTATTGATTTTATATTAGAGACACGTTCAAACACATTTTATATTCGACGAGAAAATATAAATAAGCGTAAGGTGACCGATCGCGACGGCAGGGCGTGTTATCGCGCACTTCAACCGTTCACATAATTAATGTGAATCAGACGATTATCTCTGCGGTTGTTACGCACTACCGAACATTTTTGTTTCAACTGAATTTCACTTCAAGTACGAGTCATAACTTTCTACACATCACCTGAGTTCGAAAGCGAGCTCCAAACGCGAAGAAAATCGTAAAATTTGAGATAACTAAAGACAACGCTGTTCTCCATCCGACTACACAATACGTAAGCTTTATAAAAAAACTACACGACTTGTCCTTATTACAACTAAAAGCGTTTTCAGCGGCTTGATAATCTGTTGCCAATTAAACGTTTAACAGTACAAAATACTGTGGCAGCGCTCGAGCGCTGTACTGCACGAATGCCCCGCCCATTGTTATTATAATGCAGCCAACATGACGCACGAAGTGTGCCGTGAAGTTGGCCACGAGAGAAGTGACATGTCGCAGCTATCTCACTCCAACAAATGGATATGAACGGAACGGCAACATTCCTTTTCTGTAGTAAATCATTATGGTTGCAGGAGAAATGTAAATAGAGTATTCCACGAAATGCCCGGCGCAGGCCAAATAACGGTATTTTATTAGCGTATTATTATTACTAATGGATGTAAGTTGAAGTGCCAATATTATTTATATTTGTATCGAATTTGAATAATTTTACATCATTCAATTAGTTTTTTGTTTTCAAGAATTATATTATGTTGGAACATTAACACACTGCACCATCTGGCATTCGTGCTCATCCCATAAATGAATGTCTCCAGCGGGACTCAAACCCGTGACCGCTGGCACAGCAAGTAGGGTCACTACAAACTGAACCAAACGTCGTAAATTATATAATCAATTGCTAGAAAATAAAATAAAATGATAGTTGTTAAATATTTTAAGTAATGTATAATTTAAAAAAAATGATATATTTTATTCAATTACAAAGTTATTACTGCAACATAAATAAAAACTCTGTCATATGCAGAAAGAACATAGGTTATATTATTTATTAATTATATGTATTTCACGTGCATATACAAACAATGACTGTGGTAAAATATTATTTGTATTTTTTTTAAGAAACAATTTCCTTTTAAAATAATTACATCATCATAATAATTTCTTAAATTTACGCGAATATTTGACATTTTAGATAAAACTATCTTTTCGGACTTTTCGTGAATTTATTTAAAAGACAGCAAGAAATTCGCAAAAAAATCCGAAAAGATAGTTGTATTTATAATACATCATCATAATTAAATACGTCTACAAATTTGTACAATAATTTGGAAATAGAGAAATGACACCGAAGTACACTTTGGCACACAATGGTATATTATTATTACAAGTCATTAAAACATTAGCCTCTCCCGTGACCGTTTGCTTTAAAGCGTTCAAAATGACGGGAACGTAAACTAAAAATAAAGTCGCTACAAAATTAAAAAACATAGTTTCATTTAATTTGTCAAATATTCACGTAAATCTAAGAAATTATTAAATACGCATATTTCAACTACCTGATTGTTAGTAAATGAATGCACACAAATACTTTTCTAACACTTAAACTACAGCATGAGTATTTAGAGTAAAATGGCGACCATAACTTTGATTACGCGACATATTTATTGTACGAACGAAAGAGACAGATATATGCAATATGTATTAATTTTAAGTTGATTGTTGTTGCTGTTTCATTCTAACGTTTGTTTTAAATTGAAATAATATAAATAGCATCCATAATATAAAGTATATCCAATGAAAAACATAACATGTAAAAAAAATCAAGTTTCGCAACACAGTTCTTCTACCGCAAAAAGTTTAAAGGTCTAACGTAAAACCAAATCGGTTAATTTATTCAATACCTATCTATGGAAGCATCTATCCGACAACTTTGTCATAAATTGTGACCCAAATCAGCTATTTAACAACATTTTATAGTGACCGTGTCAATATTAGATATATTTATTTCTTTATTGAGTGGTTTAATGTATAAAATGGTCGTCTCATTTATGTATTTTTTGTATTAGAGTATAACTTTATAGCAGTGTTTATTAGGACTTTCTAAACATATTGCGAACAGATGTTTGTTGATATTTGTAAGCTTATGTATTTTTTTCGAAGATAGTAAATAGCTTAAGAATTATCATTTGCTTGGGAATTATAGTTGTAAAATTACCTTTGTAAGATAGTGCGAGATTAAAATAAAGAAAAAATGAAATAAATAAGCTAATATTTGAAGGGAAAGAGAGTTAATGATTAAAAAATACAAACGAATATAGTATTATTTTTATTATTCATATTTTATTCCCCAAAATTTGTATATTAATTTAACTAATATATATGTATACAAAATTTCCCATAGTCTATCTGTACAGCAAAATCCGGGAATTATTTCGAACTATTTTTGAGTTTGACATTTATTTTGGTGGATTACGTCTTTATATTCTTTTGTTATTGATAACAAAATTTATTTTTGCATTTAACAAAACATTTTGAAGGGGTTTAATTAAATGGAAATAGTCTCGTCGACGAATACGCAGCGCAAACTCATTACGTAATAACTGATTTTTCAAATGATATTCAGTAAAGTCAAAAACAAATATTTAAGAACGCGTTATTTTATATTACGTATGTAATAATCGATGATCTATTTTTTCCATTAATTTTACACAGCTTCAACAACAAATCCGTAAGAATAAATAAATAAATAAATATGTTGGGACATTAACACACAGCGCCATCTAGTTCCATAGTAAGCTACGCGGCTTGTGTTATGGATACCAGATAGTTGATACACTACACATATAGAACTTTTAAACACATACATATTATAAATATAAACACCCATGACTGGGGTATAAACATTCGTGCTCATCACACAAATGAATGCCCCCAGCGGGACTCGAACCCGCGACCGCTGGCACAGCAAGTAGGGTCACTACAAACTGAGCCAAACATGTCGTCAACGACTGCTAAGAATATTTTATAACGCCATCTATTGACATTAATTTGAACAAATTTTCGTTTTTTAATACTGAACTTCGATCAACAGTATAACTATTGTTGATCGAAGATACTGAATTTGAATAAACAAATTTGAGATTTTAACACTTTCTAAACGTGATATAAGTCCTAAAAAGGACAAACAAACCTATTACCCGATTGTTTATTTTTTAATAAATCAGTAAAACTACCCAAAGTCGACGAGCGCATTATTTAGTTTTCGTTAATTAATATATGTAAATATTTTTTTTATAATATAAAATATCTTTTTGGAAGCTTTTTTTTTTATAAATTTTATAAAAACTTTAATAACAATTCGATATATATAACGCCATCTATTGATATAAATCGGAATTAATTTTTATTCATTCTAAAACCCCACGATTTAAAGTTAATTTTTTTGGTGATCAAGTCGTCAGGTGTGAGCGAAACGATGGTGTACAAGTATAAATTGTTAAAAATCCTTTTTGTCATTTAACTCTGGATATATCTATACTAACATTATGAAGAGGCAGTTTGTTTGAACGTGCTAATCTCAGGAACTACTAATCCAATTTGAAAAATTCTTTTTACATTAAATAGCCTGTTTATTGAGGAAGGCTACAGGCCTATAGGTATATATATATCATCATACCCAAGGGAACGGGAGCATAATATAATATACAGTCTATCTATACCATAATAACCGTTAAAATGTATCTAGGGCCGAGTTTGTAATTGCTTGTAATTTTTTTCATTCTAAGGGATTTCACGGAATTACCAACTTTTTTGTGTTATTTTACCCCCAAAATAACCTCTAAGTGACCCCCAGGAGTCATAGACAGTTATGAGCTATAGGTTAACCAGGCTGTTGAAAAAGTAAGAAAAAAATATTTTCCAAGCAATTTAAATAAATATTTTTTAATTTCTCAAATAAAACAAGTTTGATGAGTGTGGGCTAATAATAAAACACAAATTTAAAAATATAAGTTTATTATACACATTTTACATCTAAGTGGCAGTAAGCCTGGAGCCTGGAGTGTGGAGCCTGGCCCCCGCTACAGCTGATAGTCGTTGGGGTCGTATAGCTCCGAGAGCAGCCGGTAGGTGTACGACGGGGAGCTGCCGCCGCTGGAACACATCGTCATATTATTTATATTTACAGAAAATACTCTTGTCAGGGTTCTGGTGAATGATCAATAGATGGCGCTGACCAAAAACGTGCCTAAATTAAACAATTTTCATGCAAGAAAAACGTTTGCCTTGTAAATTATTTCTAGTAATTGTTGATTGTCTGTCTTCTACACAACTACTTTGGATCGTTTCGATCTATTATATTAAGCGCTAGCATTGCCCGCGGCTCCGCTCGCGTTTAGATGAACAAAACCCGAATTCTTAGGTTTTACATATTAGTATACTCTTACATTGCAGTTTTTGTATTTTTTCTCATAAATGAGACATTTTCTCGCGGTAAAAAGTATCCTATATGTTGACCCGGATAACCAGCTATCACCATACCAAATTTCGTCAAAATTCCTTTCAGTGGTTTTTCCGTGATGTGGTAACAGACAGACAAAAATTCTAAAAACTATAGATTCGACCTCTGTATCGATAATAGTGTTTATTCAGAGTGGACTGTGGAGCAACCCCGTGGTTGTTGTGGTCTGCTTCGGCAGACCTGCCGTCGGGGCGTCGTAGTTGAATGCGTAAGCGATCCTGCGACGCCCCATTAAGACGGGGGAAGGTTTTGTTGGGTTTTAGTGGGTAGTACTGGCTTCTCTAGCCGGTGAGTTCAACATAATCAATTTAAGCAAGTGGTACGCTTAAATGCATTTACCAACATTAAAAAAAGTGTGATTTGACATGTCATGGTACGGCGTGATGTGGCGTGGTATAGTGTGATGTGTTGTGTCGTGATGGTAACACTCACAGGTTGGTGATGAAGAGCGTGATGTGGTCGGGCGGCAGCAGGTCGTACATCGGCGCCTCCACGCGCACCGCCGCGCTCTCCGCGCTCCTGCACACAGACAGACACACATACAGCTCTGTTGTAGTCATTCGAAAGGCTTACTAAACTAAACAATTTGAGAATGTACAAAAAATGAATGAGGGACCAAAACAAAATAAGTAAAAATTTAAATAAATGTATGAATATAATTGTAATAAGGAACAAATAAAAGATATATATCATATAAAAATTAACAGCGACTAACATACAGGCCTAAATGATTATGGAAGAAGTGTTGTTGCAAATTCAACCCCTGAGTGAGTGAATTGGGTGACTAAAAGATATGGGGGGGGGGGGGGGGGGAGAGATGGCGAAAAGGATGAAACGGATGTGTGCTGTATGAAGTGAATCTATTATTATATGTATGTATGTGTTCATTTGTGGGGTCGAACAATTATGGGAAATAAATAAAACGGATGAACAAAAAGGACGGAAAAAAGGTGATAGGATGGAAAGGGAAGGGAGGAAAGGATGCAACGGGTGTATAATGTGTGGTGTGTGTACAGTGTGGGTGCTCACATGTAGGGCAGCGCGTCGGCGGCGGGCGCGCGCGCGGCGAGGCGCAGGCGGTCGCAGGCGTGCAGCGGCGACAGCGCGTGCAGCGGCGCCAGCACCAGCACCTGCGCCATAGCACAATATATATATATATATATATATATATATATATATATATATATATATATATATATATGGTATTTCAAAACACACACAAATATATACTCCCGTAATTCCAATATACATTGTTTTCATATAACTAGTGGGTAACACACCGCTCGGCATGATTTCCCCGACATCTTCAACAACCATCGTCATAATTCATTCAATTCAAATAAAACCTTAATAAATTAATACACCTAAACCTTCCTCATGAATCATTCTATCTATTGGTCAAAATCGTAGGAAAATCTGTCCGGTAGTTTTTGAGTTTATCGCATTCAGACAGACAGACAGACAGACGCGGTGGAAGACTTTATTATTATAATATGTACTAATATAGGCGTCTTTTATGAAAAAAATATCGCAATCTTTTACGAAAAACGCCGAGCGAAGTCCAAGTACATAGTATATTTTCAAAAAAGACAGTCAGTGAGTGACTGACCTCGACGGCGCAATGTGCAGCGGCGGTGGTGACCAGCAGCGCGCCGGCGCGCGCCAGCGCCGCGCCGCCCGCCAGCGCCGCCACCGCACCTATTATCACCTGCAAATCACATCACATATTATTATATCACATCACATTGTATCATATCACATCACATTGTGTCATATCACATCACATTGTATCATATCACATCACATTGTATCATATCACATCACATTGTGTCATATCACATCACATTGTGTCATATCACATCACATTCTATCATATCCCATTACATCATAATATAAACAAACATTTAATAAATTCAGTGTACATATATGTCGATCAGGGGTTCGATTATTTTCTATGGATATTGGGCATTATCCAGGCACCGCCATTTTGTTCTTATATGAATGGAAGACACTTGTTTTCAACTCTTTCTAACGTCCCACTGCTGGGGGTGGGCCTCCCTTCAATACGAGGGAGATCAGGCCATAGTCCACCACGCTGGCAAAGTACGGGCGGACTGAGCATGTCTGCAGACAACTCGCTAGGTTCTCTCAGACATGTAGGTTTCCTCACGATGTTTTCCTTCACCGTAAGGCAAGTGGTGATCATGTTGGGAGTGATCGGGGAGGACACTTACAAAAACATAAATATTAACATTATTGTGCTCTTAAGTGTCACATTTCTGAGATATTTTGATAGGATAAGTATTCTCCATTGTACGTGATATTGGTGAAGTAGTTAGTTCACAAATGGCACACTTTGAAGCCATTAACAAAAGAATTGAATTGAATAGAATTGTTAAGCTTTTTTTATGGTGTTAAGATTATCGTTAGATTTTTTTCAATTATATTCAAAGAAGCGAATATTTAAAGCCAGTGTGAGTATTTATTTGTATGGTCATGTGTTTCAATGAATATGTCGTGTGTATGTATGTTTGTGCCCGCACCTTGTTGACGCGCGGCATGAGCGCGGGCACGGCGGCGAGCCCCACCAGCGTCACCGACACGCCGGCGCCCGCCAGCCGCGCCGCCATCGCGTGGCTCTGCGCACAGACAGACACACGTGTAGTTATATATATACACTAGCAATGCCCGCGGCTCCGCCCGCGTTCGGATGACCAAATACCAAATTCTTAGGTTTTCATTATTAGTATACTATTACGTTGCAGTTTTTGTATTTTTTCTCAAAAATGAGATATTTTCCGGCGGTAAAAAGTAGCCTATATGTTGAACCGGATAACCAACTATCATCATACTAAATTTGATCAAAATCCCTCCAGTGTTTTTTCCGTGATGCGGTAACAGACAGACAGACAATAATTCTAAAAACTATAGATTCGGCCTTTGTATCGATAGTAATGTTTATTTCAATAAGATTTTCCAAAAAATATTTAATGTACAGATTCGGCTTAGTTACAATTTTATTATATGTATAGATATAGGGGTATAGCTAACGTAATAGAGGTAGTGCCAATAAATGCCACTAGATGGCATTATAGATAAATAACAATTATCTTTATCAAAGTTGAATGTTCTTATTTTGCTCTGTCCATCTCCCTCCCTCGCTATGGAGGATAGAAATATATTTAATGATAATAATATTTTTAATATTTCTCTAATTTACTAATTTTCTATTCATCTGTATAATCTATACAGATAAATAAAATTTAAGTGTTTTTTTGTATGTCAAAAGAACAGTTTTTCATTGAATTCATATGGAAGTATATATTATACTTATATCAAAAACACAATTATTAAAAATTTTGTCTGTTTGTTTGTTTGTTTCAGCTAATTTCCAAAAAGGCTCGACTGATGATGACTGGATTTCCACTGGCAAGTAGCTGGTATTATAAGGTGTAACTCAGACTTTGTACTTTTATTTTAGAAAAAGAATTAGGGTTCCACTAAAATTTAATAAAATTTCCATAAAACCTTGTAGTGAGAATTTTACTATAAAAAGACCACAAGGCCGCCCCCACCTCCGCGACGTCGGGCCCCTCGGCCAGCAGCAGGCGGTGGCGGCGGCCGGCGGCGCGCAGGAAGCGCTCCAGCAGCGCGCCGCCCGCCGCCGCCAGCACCAGCCCGCCCGCCGCCACGTGCCGCGCCGCCTGCGCGCAGATGCCCGCGCTGCTCGACTCCACCTCGCCGCGGATCTACACACACACTTGTTGATATATACTAATATACAAGCTACTCACGCCATCTCGTGACACACTTCTAAAACTAACATTGTTATCTATACAGATAAATAAAATTGAAATGTCTGTGTGAAATGTTAAAATAACAGCGTTTTACTAAATACATATGAATGTCAAACGGTACATATACCAAAACAACATTTTTTACAATTCTTTGGCTGTCTGTCTGTCTATTTGTTCCGGCTGATCTCTGAAATGACTGAGCCGATTTTGACGGGACTTTCACTGGCAGATAGCTTTAAAACATCCAAGTTTCGAGAAAAATTTACAACGCAATATGGTCACATTTCAATGATGCTTTCTTTGCGTACAGGAAGAAATTAAAAAATACGTTTAAGTTTTCTTCCAATGTTTTTTTCCATCTATCAATATGTACACGTACACAACTTATATGAGTTTGTGTGTGTATGTATGTATGCGTGTGTGTGTGTCAGTGTGTATGTGCGTGGTCACCTCGGAAATGTGGTCGCGTATGGGTTCGCGCAGGTCGCGCGCGGCGGGCCCGAGCGTGGCGCGGCGGCTGGGCGCGGCCAGCACCAGCCGCTGCAGGGACTCGCCCGCGCCCTCCGCGCTCTGCAACGTGGAGACTTGTTTTTTTGTTAAAATACTTATATACTTTTCGTTTTTTTAGTGTTCTATACTTCAAAAGGAAAAAAGAACCCTTATAGGATCACTTCGTTATCCGTCTGTCCGTCCATCTGTCTGTTTATCTATCTATCAAGAACTAAAAAGAAATTTTTATCAGGAACGCGTGGAGGTATTAGGCTGAAGTTAATATCAACTACTCACGTCTGCAATCATTTAAGAGTTGTAAAAAAATGAAACTTTTAGGTCAATGCAATCCAAAAGATATGGGCATTTACGATGCATATTTTGACACTTGTAATGGATATTAAAACCTATAGAGTAAATACTTCTCGTTAACCTAGAATCATGAAATTTGGTAAGAAGCAATGTCTTATGGCACAAGTAAAGGGAAAAATCCGAAAACTAAATTGGCAGTTATATGAAAAATTAGCAAAAATTTTTTTTTTATTATTATAAACATATTTTAATGTTTTATGTTACAGTCACACTCACACTTGTCGGAGTATTTGCTATCGCCAATGGACCGTACATTACATACTAGTAAACTTTTTGTTTTTTATTTACTATTTATAATATTACTAGCAGAACTTCACGGCTTCGCTCGCGCTATAACTACGAAAAAAAACCTCAAAAGGTTGGCTACAAACAAACTTTCATCCCCTATTTTACCCTCTTAGGGGATGAATTTCGAATAACGCTAAAACACGTATTTACTTAATTGTATTGAAGAGCATTAATATCAAGTTTCAAGTTATTCTGATCATAAATAATTTTTGGGTTGTGTTATAACGTGTTTTCCCGTGGGAATGAAATAATTTCCCGCGGTAAAAAATACCCTATGTCGCTCTCCAGCCCTCCAACTATCTCCACACCAAAAATCACGCCAATCCGTCACTCCGTTTCGACGTGAAAGAAAGACAAACAAACATACAGATTTTAACATTTAAAATATTATAAAATATGGATTTATAATATCATGAACAATAAATAACATTCACAGAACAATAAAAACCCCATACACTTCTTCAGTCTATATCGTACATACCTGGTTAGCGTGGGTCCGTTGCTCGTCTCGTATGGCGCGCAACACTCGCCTCACCATGTTCGCCGCGACCAGCTCTGTGGGCAGTGCCTGGGTAATGTGCCGGCCGGCTGCCCGCACTGTGTTGCACAGCGACCTGGAGAGTGTGTGCTAACATTAATGCTATATCAATTAGTATTAAACTGAATCTCTAAATATCTAATTTTACCAGAATATAAGTAATAAAGACTCAAGAGGTATTGGATGATTTTAATAAAAAATAAACTTAATTAGACCTTAGATAATCATATTAAACAAAGATTGCATAATACATGCATATGCATAAAAAGATAATTTTAGAAAAAAAGCAATCTCTACTGTTTACAGAAGGGTTTAAAACTGAAAACTTTAACTGTAATTTTTTTTAACAACTTTCTATTTAACAACAGGTTCCATTTAAAGCACATAGACAAAATATAAAATACTAGCAACTCACCTTTACTTCACTAAGGTTTGTCCCTAGGTTGCTTTCCCATACAAACTTTCATCCACATTTTCACCCCCTTAAGGGATGACTTCCGAGATAAAAACTATCCTATGTCCTTCCCAAGATCTCAAACTATCTTCTTACCAAATTTCATCTAAATCGGTTCAGTAGTTTCAGAGCTTACTCGGTACAAACAAATAAAAAATCTTTCCTCTTCATAATATTAAAAAGTATACATGTAAAAAATGTACATTTTAGTTTAACAACATTTTAAAAACAATGTGTTCCCTTAGAAATACTACCTGTCTATATAATAGCTTTATACTAATAATTTTATGATATTTTGATCTGTCAATGTATTTATCAATTCTTTTTTTTTTCTATTTTATTACTAGAATATAATATTAGAATCACTCAAACAATATATTTTTAAAAAACTTACAATACATTGGCACTCTCTGATTCACTGATGATCTGCTCAAGTAGGTCCACTGTAGCAAGAGCAATCTTTTCAGAACCTTGTATTTTTCTGTGATTTTAAAAATACATGAAAATATTAAAGTCTCTTTTCATACCTCACATTAATTTTCAGTTATTTTTTAAGTTAAATCACTAGCGATTTTGGTAAGAATATAACTCATTCCTAAGAAGATCTTTATACCTTAGGTTAGTAATTGTTAAATATGTAACTTAGGTTAATATATCGTTCAAATAACTGACAAAAAGTATACATCAGCAACTTTCATTAAAAAACATAAATACTTACCCATTACGAATATTTGAGACATATTTTACAATTGCATCCATAGTTTTTTCGTCTAATTCTTCTAATTTACCTTCTGATGGTGCCATTTTAAGGTTTTGTCAATTTTATTATTGTTAAATACAAAAAAAGATACAAAATGCTGATGAAATAGTGAAAATATAACCTTTTACTTTGCTTACCACTAACCAGTGACGTCTAAAGCTGTCACTGTGACACTATGTTTGCGTTCGGGAATCTGACAACCTTTTATCCGACTGCAAGGAAAGGGTTATTTTTTTCGCGCCTATCTTTGTATGTTTATTTGTAATATTCTTTATTCCCTCATATCTTCCAAGCCACTCGATGGATTTCTTTAATTAAGGTATCGTTTGATTCGTCTCATTAGTCTATTTTGGTATCGTTGAATAAGTATTTAAATATCATTTTTAGGTTTCTTTCATCAATATTCATTTTAAATAATAGCTTAGGATATATAATGATTTAAAGTTAGTTAGCACCCATTCTCGCTTATTTCCATACTTAAAAATACTTAAAAAGCTGTAAATAAATAAATATACTATAAAAATAAAAAACCCGACTGCATACTAGGTAACTAAAAAGATGAAAACAAGTTCACCATGAACTAAATTGTAAAATAAATGTATTATGCAGTCGGAGACATACATACGAGTTCGTACATCTCACGGCAAGGATGAAACGTGTATGTCTCCGACTGCATAATACTATATTCCATCGTGAACTTGTTTTTATCTTTTTAGTTAGCTTTTATGCAGTCGGGTTTTTTTTTATTTTTATACTATATTTATTACCTATATTTTATTACTGGCATTTTCTCCTAGATATATCTACGTAGTTTATACTTTATTTTAATAAATCTCAATAGATCGGCTATAAAATGCAAAAGTTTTATTTAATTAGAATTTCTAGAGTTATGTGCGAAAACTTGGTGAACCTTCAAAAGTTAATATTAAGTACTATCGGCTTACCTTAGCTTCGCTCGGGTTCGTCTTCAGAAAAATTCCACGGGACTCGTACATTTTTCCGGAATAAAAAGTAGCCTATGTGCTATTTCAGACTATAATCTATCCCTGTGCCAAATTTCATCCAGATCCGTTCAGCCGTTCTGGCGTTGAGTAACAAACATCCAAACATCCATCTAAACTTTCACATTTATAATACTATTAGTACAATAATAAAAATGTTACACTTGATGATGAGTTTGCCGTTCAAACAAATAGATCAAAATTTCAAAATATATTACTAAGCAGAGCTTATATATCTCAATGACAAAGAATACTCTATAGATGCTAAGGCGTGATAAATAAATAAATTTTAATTTTCATTATTGTAAACGAATATTAATTTTTAAAGAGCAACTGTTGAGTTTCGCGTCTGCTCTTCTCACTAAAACTGCCATTCGAGCTTGTACTAGCTCTGTTAAGGACTTCATATACTTACAATACTTTGATGATTTTGGGTTGGATTCTCGGAAGGTATTACTACACTGACATTTAATTTATATTTAAAATGTTAAATTGACGATTCAAAAATGCTTGTAAAAATCTAATTGTATCGAGTATATTTTGATTTCATTTAAAATCGATTTAAGTAATACATAATACACATCACTAATGGTAGCTCAATTATTATTAGCTTAAAATTAGGAGTTAAGAATTTAAATTTATTTAATAATTATATGTAGATATTTGTTGAATAATTATATTCATTATGAATAGTAATCAATATTTTCGTATCTGAAATAAATGCATTTTTAAATGAAATTCGATTTGACTCCGGTTTCGGGTTCAAATTTTCTCTTAACTTCTTAAGCCTTCTTGGTATTGAAGTATATAAATAGTTTTAAAGAAAACAAATATTTAATTTATTATCGTCAATTTAATACGCTTTTATATGTAACATATATAATATATTTTCAAACCTTTAAGAACAAATCATACCCTTGTAGGTATCGATCAAAAAAACAAACTACGTAATGTAGATAAAACAAAAAGTAAGAAAGTCAAAAATAATTTCCTTTTACGAGCAAACATGATTTCTGCAGGAACAAAAATTATAAACAGTTGGTATTCCTAGAAAAAAATTATTCCAAAATGTACTCCAATCTGGTTCATCATCAGAAAAAGAAGTTTGAGCTGTCGCACTGACGCAACCAACATTCATGCGGCTTGTGGAAGAAGAGGGGGATGTGTAAGAAACCAACCTTCTCCTAAATTTTCTCTCAACAATTTTAGATTTTCGTTTTGAAACTGGAGTAGAAGTGCTTAATAGAGTATTTATATCACTGGGAGTGCCATAAGTTATTTCTTTAGGCCCATACGAAATGATTTCTTCCGATAGTTGCATTGGTTGCATCTCCATCGATACATCTTTTTCGTAAATAACATTTTCTGAATCTGAATTAGACCGTTTATAGTGTGGCAAAGATCCGAATGAGGCGCGATCTTGAATTCGTCTCATTATTTCGGTTGAGAAGTTACTAGACAGTTCACTGCTTTCTGTGATATTACTCCCGCTTGCATCTAAAATTTATAGGATATTTTATAAATTATAATATTTGGTCAATATGTTTAAAAGTTTCGTATACCTACTGGCTTGCATTTTAACTTACAATAAAAATAAGACACAAGAAAATTTTATTAGTAGTGGAATAAATAACGCAAACTACGTAAACAATACAAAATAAAATTAAACGTACCACAGCTTTCTGCAAGATCCTTAGAATATGTTCTATCATTAACATTTTCATCTTCTATAATATCTGAACTGAATATTTTATCATTCATTTTGTCAACGGGATCCTTGTAACACTTTAATTTATTAGTAATTTCATCTAAGATTTCGTCTGTATGGGTGTAAACTTCGGCTTGAGTTATTATTTGTTGCGAACACGAATTATTTTCAGATACTGTACTTTCCGGTACACTACGAGATGATGACTCTTCATGATAACTTTCATGTATCTTTTGATTCTCAATATTATTTCCTTCAAATTGTACTTCATCAGAATTTGTATTAATAGGTAGTAACTCACTTCGGCTCGGCATCTCTGGTTCTTGTAACGAAATTATATCTTCAATATCTTCAGAATCAGAGCTACCATATTTAAATCGTGTGCTAAGTCGTTGTTCATATTCATTTTTTTCAAAACTTTTGAGTGAACTTGAAGTGGAAGTGGAAGAATCTAATATATAATGATCCCTTTTATACAGGCGTCTCATTTCTCTAGCCAATCGTTCATAAAACTCCTCAGGTTCATCGTGAGGATTTGGTTTCTTGGGTTCCACTTCAATAATAAGATCTGGGAGAGGACTTTCAGCTCTAAAATCATCATCGAATGAGGACAAACCTGGTTCTGCTTCCTCTTGTATTGGTGATAGGACTGTTGGCAATATACATTAACCAATTAAATCAATATAAATTTAAAAAGCATATTTTTCTTTTTTTTCACTCTATTAATAAGAAAAGCGTCATATATTCATAAGTTAAATAAGGTAAATAAGGATATTAAAATAGTATTTAAAGTGAAAAAATAAGTATGTTTTGAGATATAAATAATGTGTCTAGATTCTAGAACATGTTCCATCTGTATGAAAAAGCCATCTAAATCCGTTAAACTGTTTCCTCGTGACTGAATAACAAACATCCATGCAACAGACCATATTCACATTCTTGATAAGTATTTATTAGTGGAATTAGTAAAAAAACCGACTGCGTAAAAACCGATCTAAAAAGAAGAGAACAAGTTGATGAAGGAACACAGTATTATGTAGTCGGACATATATACATACACACGCAGTGTATAAGTTTCTAAATGATAAGTTAGTATTGGCATAGTATAAAACATATTCTATTATATTCAAAATTTAAATATATTAGGGTTGTACATATATTTGTAATAGATGGCATTAGGGGTCTTCCAAAACGCGCTATCGTTTTGTTTAGATGATTGGTATATAAGGTGTTGAACAAAATAAATTTAAAACTTCAATCCAATCACTGGAGTATTATTACAAACCCAGAGGGAACCCTACTCCCAAGGACAACATGCACACGCAGCTATTAGAAAACATGTGCATATGCATTTTCACTTAACTAAATAATTTCTAAAACTTACAAGGTACATCTTCAAATAAACTGCGAATCAAATACGTTTTTCGTCTCTCCCATTCCTCTGTAGAACTCTGTGATCGCCACATATCGCCACATATGAATTGATTAAAATAAGCTTCCCTAACATAATTTTAATTTATTGAGGGTAGTTATAATATTAATTTCAAGACTATACATTACGCAAAAACTTATAATATATTTAATTATTTAGTCCAACTATCCGAGTTTATCTATAGTAATGATCATAGATGAATGTTATAGTAATCGGTAAATTAACAGAAACAAGCATTATTAGAAGGACTGATTATTAGTATTTAATACTTTTTTAAATTATATATTAAATTCAATAAAATTAATACATTAGAGATTCAGAATATTTTAATTTTATTTGTGTTCGCTTAAAATGAACTCGTAGTTACTCTCAAAGTATCCGAACGCAATCATCTGTGTACTGTCATATCAGAATGATGATCATTTAAAATCAATACAATCAAAATATGTGAAAACTTTGGCTATTGTGAAAATTCAGGACATTATTTCAATTATTTCATATTTTATTATAAATAAGTGATATGCCATTCAAGTTTTAGAGGCATGTTTCATTAAATAATTGAATGTAAAAGTTAGTTTTTCGAACAGCAATGGTTTTGCAACGCTTGACCGATCGCTAGATGCGGAAACGCTAGTTAAATATTTGAATTTGTATTATAATAATACAATGGACCTTTCACCAGACGAAGAAAACTTCCAAGGCCGGCTCCTGCATCAGGTAGAGACTGTTTCACGTGGATATAACGATCTAAATTAATTATATTCTTCTTGTTAGAATGTGATGCATATGTTGCAATTCCGGCAAGTGCCTGAATACTTTGTGTATTTTGTAAGGCAACTTTATATTTATTGAATAAAATATGTATTAGGTGAATAATGATATTTTGAAATGGCACATAATTTTCATTATAAAAGATTTGTTTTCAAAATTATAACATTATTAATTAATTTTTCCTTCTTCAACGAAAGATAAAAATGGGAATTTCGTTTTGTTTTTAGTTTGGAAATTTGAAAGTTTAGCTAAAGTAATCTTTGAATTATTTTTGTGAATTTGAACTAAACATCATCCTGTAATAATAGGTATTATTAATATTGCTGACAAATGAAAAAGTCAGTGCAATAATTATATTATTTTTAAATGGAAATAAATAATAAATCCTTGGATACCATAAAAATATATTAAATATTTTTTAATTATAGATGTTTTCATAAGGCTGTAAAGATTTGTTAGACTTTCGTACAAAAAACCTTAATTTGCCAGATTATTTGAGATGCAATCTATTTCATAAGTATATTGAAATAATCCATTAGGTCCTTTGGCACAGAAAATATTTCCGTTGGGTTTTAATTAAACTAGCTCATGAGTTATAACATAGCACCTGTTGTCATACATGTCTTATGAGTAAATGCATTTCCTAACAATAAAAAATACACACACATCCAAATATACAAACTTTTGCTTTTATATTAGCAGTTTGATGTATAAAATATTCGTCATTGATGACACGCTTGGCTCAGTTTGTAGTGACCCTTCTTGCTGCACCAGCGGTCGCGGGTTCGAGTCCCGCTGGGGGCACTCATTTGTGTGATGAGCACAAATGTTTGTACTCCAGTCATGGGTGTTTATATTTATAATATGTAAGTATTTAAAGTTATATATGTATAATGTATCAACTATCCGGTATCCATAACACAAGCCTCGTAGCTTACCATGGAACTAGATGGTGTTGTGTGTTAATGTCCTGACATATTTTGTTATTTATTTATTTGGACAAATAATTATATATTACTTTTGGTCAGGTTCATCCCTAGTTAGGTTTTAACAAATAGTATGGAATAGATAGACTAATGGATGATGAATGGGAATGAATCTCTCCCATAGTAAAAAGTAGTCTATGTAAAAAATCACACCAATCCATCACTCTGTTTTGACATGAAAGAAGGACAAACAAACAAACATACTTTCACATACATAATATTATAATAGTATTGATATATATAGTTACTGAATTAAAAGGCAAAACATTAAATTGCTGAACCAAACTAATACCTCCTTTCCTCCACCAGGCGGCTCTGTGGGATAACCTGGACCTCCTACAGGAGCTGGTGGCGGGCGGCGCGGAGGTGGACGCGCGCGACCAGCACTTGCGGAGTGCACTGCACGCCGCCGCCCTCGGCGAGCGCAGCCAGTGCTTGCGTGCACTGTGCGCTGCGGGTGCTGACGTGGACGCCAGGTCCGACCATGAGACTGGTGGAAAGGTTTGTAGTGACTTTACGTTCAATGTCTTGGCTTGAATTGTTTGCGTATATAAATGTTTTTTAGCCAGACTATTAATTATTTTTCATTGGGATTATTTGTTAATAAATATAATACTCATAGCATAAAGAGTTACTTTCTGTTAAGGTCTAAAAGTGAATAAGCTGACTGTACGCTGATATTACACAGGTGCACAGGTGTGAGACTGCACTTTCTTTCTCTATTCCTTTCATTCTTACAATAAAATATATTAACTGCCTCGGTGGTGTAGTGGCTAGCATGTACGGCTACACACCCGGAGGTCCTGGGTTCGAGTCCCGGGTCGGGCCAAGTTTAGTTATTGAGTCTTTCTGTATATTAAGCCTCAGTAACAGCCCGGAGTAGGGAAGTTGGCGGTGTTTCACCCCCGTGTCTCGGAGAGCACGTAAAGCCGGCGGTCCTGCGCCTTAACTCTCACTAGTCGTGTCGAGTGGTCGTCCCACCAGAGTCTGAGAGTGACAGGAATAGAGAGTGCACGTTGTGTCTGCGCGTACACTTGTGCACTATAATATCTCCTGCGCAGTGGGCTAGTCTCAATGAGATTGGCCGCCGTGGCCGGAATCGGTCGGGAGAACATCAAAATATCTTAAGAACTAGCGGCTCACCCTTGCTTCACTCGTTTTCGTCAATACATACGTTTTAACGGTTAGTATGGAATAGTTAGACTATATATTAGTACATACATATATACATAGGTATGATCAATTTTATGTCCCCTACTTGAGAAATGAATGATTCCCCATACAATATTCCATCCCCTTTTTCACCACCTTAAGGGATGATTTCCGGGATAAAAACTATCCTGTGTCCCTCCCAGGGTCTCAAAGTACCTTCATACTACATTTCATCTAAATAGGTTCAGCGGGTTTTTAGTTTATCCATAACAAACAAACATAAAATAAAAAACAATTTTATTTATAATAGTAGTACATATAGATATAGATAAGTCGTAGTTTTATTAGTGAATTATGTAGTGTTATAAGCCACTTTGTACAATACAACTAACTAGCACCCGTCCACCAAACCCATGGAGGTGTTCAAGAACTGAAAAAGACCTTCATCCTCCAGACAGCACTCCACATAGCAGCAGAGCGTGGTCATGTGGAGAATATCAAAGCTCTCCTGGCGGCGGGGGCTGACCTCTCCATCTTGACGGCCGACGGTGACACGGCGGTGGCTCTGGCCGAGCGTGGGCGACACCGACACGCCGCACTCGCCCTTAGAGAAGCTAAAGGTGAGTGGGGATTGCGGTTGTTAAAAATCTAAATAGGTTATATTCAAATAGACTTTTACAAGCACTATAGAATGTTTTTTTTTTGTATTTGGTGTTAAATTATGACACATCGGCTCCTCTGGCGGTCCTCCGAGAAGAGCCGGTACTGGATAAATAAAATTGAATTGTCAGTATGTAATTATAAGAAAAACACAATTTAAAAGGTTTTCGTCTGTCTGTCTGTTTGTTTCGGCTTATCTCCGAAACGGCTGGACTGATTTTAACGCTATTTTCACTGGCATATAGCTGATGTTATAAGGAGTAACTTAGGCTACTTTTATTTTATAAAAAAATAAGGGTTCCACTCAAAAAGGTTAAGATGTACCTAGGGACGCACCCGAGCGAAACGAGTGTAAGTACTCGTAGCTTGTTTTATTTTTTTTTCATTTAGAGTAAGATGCACGAAAGTAGTTCATAATAGGCATTAGTAAAGATTTGTAAGGAAATGAAGCAAATTCACACTTAAGTTATACCCTATTGAGGCTTTTGTGTACATTCTTTCTATCTCGTGGGAACTTTATTTAACACATAAAATAAAATATCCAAAATTATACTCGCTATGCCAAATTTCATTAACCTACACATTTTGCTATTTTTAACTGAGATAAAAAAAAGAGTAAGTACCTACTAAATTCTGGTATGTTTTATTTGTATGTATGTACATATGTTACGCCATATCTTCGCTATTAGTTATACAGCGAATTTTTGCAAAGATATATTACCTATAGCGGAGAAATTACGGAAAAAAATGATTCATAAGGATTGAGGATAGAAAACTTACTTTTATGTGGAAAAAAAGTGATTATGGATACATTATTATTATGTAAATGTAATAATAAATGTTGGCACATTAACACACAGCACCGTCTAGTTCCATGGTAAGCTACAAGGCTTGTGTTATGGATACCAGATAGTTGATACACTACACATATATAACTTTAAATAGATACATATTTTAAATATAAACATCCATGACTGGAGTACTAAAAATCGTGCTCATCACACAAATGAATGCTTCCAACGGGACTCGAACCGACGACCGCTGGAACAGCAAGTACGGTCACTACCAACTGAGCCGTGTCGTCGAATTATATATTACATATATTTGTAATACAGTTATTTTAATTGATGTAAATAACTGTATTATAAATATTTTATTATTGTTTGTTTATTCCTTATTGATGGTAAACAAAAAGAAAAGATATATTAGTAACATAATTACTCAATAAATAAGACCGGTGACAACTGTCGTGACCGGTGACATGCGCACATATTGTTATATTGCTAGGGATGTGCCAAATATTAATATTAATAAATAATAATTATTAATATTACTCACAAAATCAGTTAGAATGACATTGTTTTATTGTTGAGGAGTTTGTAGACTCTTTCAGGATTATTTTTCTTTTATTTATCAATCATTTGGCTCAGTTTGTAGTGACCCTACTTACTGTGTCAGCGGTCGCGGGTTCGAGTCCCGCTGGGGGCATTCATTTGTGCGATGACCACAAATGTTTGTACTCCAGTCATGGGTGTTTATATTTATGATATGTATGTATTTATAGTTATATAATACTAGACCATAGAGACAATTATTATTTTTGAAACGCAAAAACTTCTTCATATATTATATTATTAATATATATTATTTGAAGTTAATATTATTGAAATGGGTGTGGTGTCGAGATCGGCCCTTGCTATATCGACCAGTTTTGATCCTTTGTAGCTCCTCTTCTTCATATACCCTGCTCTTTAATCGTAATGATCTGGTACTCGGTTAATTCAAGATGGTGTCACTAATCAACTAGCACATTTTCGCATTTAAAATATTCGTAATAATGGCAAGAAATCTAAATTAAAAAAATAATAGGGAAATATTTAAAAAGTAATTATTTTTTTAATAACATGTGTATAGGGCAACCCTAACACCAGCCTAACCTTGGCTTTTTTGCCAACAGGTTTCCGATGATGTTACTATTATGTAACGAAACGTTATAATGCTTCTAGAAAATATGAACATATAAAGATTCACGATCATTTATTTTGTATAATATTTACACTTTCTTATATATTATAGCACTATCCGACAGATATACACAAAAATTGGTATTATATAGGAAAAATACCTTTCGGTTTCTCCCGAGCTTTCGGGTATTTTTAGGGTTCTGTACCCAAATGGTAAAACGGGACCTTTTTAGATTTTTTTAAATTTAAATGAAACCTTGTTTCAGCCTATTTATTAAAAAAAGATTATGAAAATCGATCGACAATTAATGACGAAGATAGAGCGTAAACATACACGACAAAAAAGATAAAATTAAATACCTCTTACTTTAAAACTCGGTCAACACTAAAACAGAAACAGGTCATTATACTTAGACAAATTGAAATTATTTTTTTGTGTCTAATGTAATATCCTCAAAGCGGGATATAACTGTAGACTTATATTGTTATTAAAATTATTAATAAATAACAAAAAATGATGTGAGATTATCTAATCAGAATAGTGTAAAAGTGCGAGTACAGCTTCAAGGCCGGTAGTGTTATGGACTTGCTTGTTATGTGTAAGAATTGCGTATGTGACATTTTTTAATAAATAAATATGTTGTGATATTAACACACAGCACCATCTACATAGTTCCATGGTAAGCTACGAGGCTTGTGTCATGGATACCAGATAGTTGATACACTACACATGTATAACTTTAAATACATACATATTATAAATATAATGTGAATGTAACAGGTATTTAAAAATACTAGGCAGATGTGCGTGTCAATATTATAAACTCAACAGTTAGCCTGTTAGTTGGTCTAGGATCTTTTTTTTAACTTTGGCAAATCCATTTACTTATACCACCTGCATATAAACAGGTATAACTCACAAACCAACCCCCTCCCCCCACTCCCCCGCGCCCGCCGGCTAGAACCATGACATTTAGTTCTATTAAAAAATGTGTACTTATAAGCTATTTTCTTTTGTTGATCCCGCTAAAGCTTTGAAATCGAATTTGAAATCTGGTGAGTACCAGAAAAAATATCTTTTTGCGTCATGTTGTGTATTAATTCAGCAAGGTTATAAGTAAAATATTAATATATAAGTCAACTGCGTGGGCGTAACCGCAAAAATACGGGCGGTAATAAATATGAAAATTTAATATAAATAAAAGAAGCAAAGACTGGTGCGACCCGCTAGTTCAGAGTAAATAAATAGATTCATAAGATCTTTAAATGCTGTTTATTTTTTTAATATTATTATCTAAACATATATAATAAAATTCTAACTGAGTCCAATCTGTACATGCAATAATTTTTGGTAAATGTATTGAAATAATCTTTATTATCGATACAGAGGCCGAATCTATAGTTGTTAGAATTTTTGCCTGTCTGTCGGTCTGGGAACATTTAACGAGAAAACCACTGGACAGATTTTGATGAAATTCTATGGGTTACCCGGGTCATCATATACGATACTTTTTACTGCGGGAAAATAACTCGGAGAAATCAATATTAAGCGTCAAAACGTAACTAGAAACGAACTCGAGTGGAGCGTGGGTGAGTCACTAGTTTAATTATAAGATTTATTTAAAGTAAATTATAATAATTAAATTATCTTTAAGCTCTTGCCATGAGCTACGAGAAATAAAATATGAAAATACATAAAATTCACATCGCTTATGTTGTATAACTGAATATATGTAAATGAGCTTCTTGGCTGTAGGTATAATTGGCTAATAAATTTAAATAAATTAATCTGTAACTAACATAAGTACACTGCAACTTTTTGTTTCAAATTCAAATAATACTGGCGGCTCACCCTGGCTTCGCTTGGGTTCGCTTCTATAAAAACAAATCTATCCCACGGATATCGTACATTTTTCCTGGATAAAAAGTAGCCCATGTGTTATTCTGAGGTTTGAGCTATATTATTGGAGAGTTTCATTAAAATCCATTCAGTAGTTTTTGTGTGAAAGAGCAACAAACACCCATACGTCCATACGAACTTTTATATTTATCATATTAGTATATTTAGTATAGATTTTCTCTATCCTTTTAAAAGGTGAACGTACAGCAAAACTTAATTTTTTAAAGTTGGTTAGAAATGTTGTCGCTTACCCGGTTTTTAAAACACTGTATGCTTCGAACTACTGCGGTACTGGTAGTACTGGCTTCTAGTTCAGTTTATACTTTGCGCCGACGCGGGGACGTCGCGTTACACGAAATCTGTTATTTCCTATGTCATAACAATCCGAATAAATAATTTATTTATTTCTAGTGTCATATTGTGTATAGTGACATAGTGATAGTGACAAATTGTTAAAAATAGCTACATAGTGATCCAGTGTTAGTATAAAACTAGTGTTAATTTAAAAAAAAAAATAATTTATGCACTACACCGCAATATTTAATGAAGTTAATTAAATAATAATTAGTTTTAACGGAAAAATTATTAAAACAACACTTAATTAAGAGATAAAAATAAAACTAATAACATGACTATATGAGACATGTATCTGATAAATGCTGATATATACAAACATACAGGTGGAACTAATAAAGAATATTCGTATATTTGTTTTATACAGGTTAATATTGTTCTGTGTCTGAATATCTGGGTACAAACAAACGATTTTAACCCCTATTTCTTAATAATATTAAGACAATATATTCAGCATCAGTTGCTTTCTAATTAATAGTGTGAGCTAGTGTTAGTTAGACTTGTTCATATTTTTTCATAATTTTCATTATTTTTTTTTATTAATATTTCTTATATAAATCAGTGGTCTTCTAAACATTAAGTGAAAAATGGTCACAGGATGACGACCAGGATGTGACCATCTTTGATGTAAATCATTAGAAACGCCGGCAACAAAAATACAAAATAAAACCGTGACACAATCAGAAAAAATGTTTTTTTTCTTTCAAAATGATAATATTCGCGTAAATTTAAGAAAATGTTATGGTCCTCTGAATTTTAAGGGCGCACCGGGGCAATTACGAAATAATAACGTTCGTTTGATCCCTTGCTGTATTGTTATTAATAAAACTTTTATTGTGCAATTAATATGTAGGATGTTTAAGGATTTATTCTATAAATCGTACACTTTAGAAACACGATTACTTGTAGTTTCCTTGATAGAAAAAAAAACCAAAATGATCTCTAAAAAACAAAATAAACCCGTAGAACGGCGTAAATAATTCTAGGAAGTTCATCAGATTTTTTAATAATAACAATACTATACGTTTTCTATAAAGTATACATTTTACATTTTCAAAATGTGTATTTGTTTTAAAGGTATAAAAGGCAGTGGTAGCCCAGTGGTAACACGCTCGCTTGGGACACCGAGTGAAGCGGGTTCAAATCCCGGGTCTCGCACCTCTGATATTTTCATGTGCGAATCATTTCTAACATGATTACCACTTGTCTTAGGTAAAGGAAAATATCGTGAGGAAACCTGTATGTCTGAGAGAACCTAGCAAGTTTTTTAAAGATATGTGAAGTCCAGCAACCCACATTTGGTCAGAGTGGTGAACTATGGCCTGATCCTCCTCGTATTGAAGAGACGCCCATGCCCAGCAGTGGGAAGTTAAAAGAGCTGATACACAGTACCTTTAGACTCAGTCATCGGTTATACATTTTGAAGGGGTTTTCGTATTCTTACCAAATATGATACTTGTAGTATCCTATACATTATATAGTATACATTCTACATCTACTACCTCGTTGGTGTAGGGGCTAGCAACTGCTTCTGATCCGAAAGTCCTGAGTTTGAGTCCCAAAGAATGGCGAGTCCACTTGTGTTTCCGGGTATACTTGTGCACTATATATTCTGCAGTGCAGAAGGGACGATTTTTACGGTTTAGTTCACAAATATCAATAAACTCGTTTTTTCTTACCTTGCTAGATAAACCCTGTTTTTATTAATAAAAACCGTATGAAAATCCGTACAGCAGTTTCTGGGAGTTATCCGTACAAACACGAAATTAGGGTGATTTGTAATTTATAATGATAGTGAGGAGAAGTTAGTAGATGACTAGTAGAAGATAGTATACTTACGTACATCAAGCGGTAATCAAACCAGCTTTCACTTATGTGTAAAACCAGACTATATATTATGTTAGATTATTTCATTATAACTTGCGGTCGCCTTGTCGGATTCATTTTTGTGTGGCAACGAAAATGGCTTCGTAACCTGAAATCGGTTCTAATATTATAAATGTGAAAGTAATTTTGTCTATTACTTTTTCTTAAACCGCTGAACAAATTTTGATAAAATTTGGCATAGACTTAAATTGCAATCTGGGATCAGACATGTCATACGTCCGATCCCAGGGAGCAGCGTGTATCACACTAGCGACTCACGCTCGCTTCGCTCGGGTTCGTTCCTAGGTACGTTTTGTGTTAAAATGGATATAGTATGTTATCCTTAAGAGATAGATATATGCCATCGCGGACTTTTCTGTAGACCTATATAAGATACACAATTCCACCATACAGTATTTTGTTATATCTCAAAGGGTTTAGGCAGCGTTTTCGTTGAAAGCTCCCAGACGGCTTATTTTTTCCCGACACGGACAAAAACTATAATATATAAATAAAAATTAACAAGGGACACAACCGGGAACTTACTATACACTCATCTACATATATGTATAGTCAAACGGTTAAGTCATTAAACTAGCCCACACTTTGGTTATAACTTATAACTACAATAAAGAATATTTTTTATGATATGGTAATTAAACTGTGACTGTCTGGCCCTTAAAATATATCTGTGCAATATGTCCTTAGATTTACGCGAATATCTTGGATTTTTGGCGGCTTTATTTAGATTTTTGGTTCTCAACCTTTCTGATAGTTCCAACAGGTAGTTAGCGCGTTCAAACAAAATTAAAAAAAAAATTAATGAACTTTTCAGCTTGATTCTATTAAGTATAGATTTTTTTATTGGTATTAATTACGATTATCGTTCGTGTGCATAACTTTCGCTTATGTACAGATTTCTCCGGAACTACACGAGACTTATTTTTTTTCTAGCTTACCAGTGCTTTCGAATTTACCCGTGGAGGAACATGCTGTAGACTCAACCAAGCTAGATAAGTGCGGGTTGGCGTGCTTCACAAGTCTTGCGAAAACTTGTTAGGTCCTCTTAGACATGCAGGTATCTTCACGATGTTTTCCTTCACTGTAAGGCAAGAGAAGTCGTGTACGTCTGTGTGTGTGTGTGTGTGTCTGTGGCATCTTAGCTCTCAAACGGATGGACCGGTTTCGATGCGGTCTTTTTATTTGAAAGCCAGTTTCCTTGCGGTGGTTCTTAGCTATGTTTGGTTAATATCGGTCCAGCAGTGTAAGAGTATCAGCACTTTTCCAAAATGATGTGAGGTATTTTGGCGTATGATTACTCGATTAAGTGCTTCACGCGTGCCAGTGTAATCGTTAAATGACAATTAATTTGCTCGGGAGGATTTTTTAAATTTTTAATTTATAATTTTAAAATAATATTCGTTGTTTCGCCCGAGAATGTATCTACCTAGGGCACTGCAATAAACTCTCCCTCCGCACTGGAGTAACCTTTTGCTAAACAACAGGTGGCATCTGCCAGCGACATTATACTGTGACTTTATAAAATTATTTAAACTAGTTTTCACCCAGTGGATGAAATTCGACCAGAATTATTATTGAAAATTAGAGGAAAACATATAAATGACAAGAATTTATCTACATATGTTAAAACAAATCGGTCAAGTGCGAGTCGAATTCGCACACGAAGGGTTCTGTACCATCGTACATGTACTTTTTATTAATATGACTTTTACTCTATGTATGTAGTATAATAACTTCGATAATCGATTACTAACATTAAAATTGTTTCTTATATTTTTATTTATTTTTATCATTTGTTGTTATAGCGGCAATAGAAAT